GTGCAAATTGGTAAAATTACAGTATAAACTTGAAATATAGCATCTCATGAAGAGGAACGGAAAATGAAAAGTTACAATATGTACCTAGGTGGTACTCATGTAATGAAAATGTAAAGTATGTAAAGAAAATATCTTTAAATCTACTCCTGATACAAGATTTGATGAAAAGATTGTACGAGTAAATGCTACATTTAAAGAAAAAGACGCACACAATATCCTTTCGCTGAATGTACATTTAACAAACAACGAGTCGTAATGGTATCACCAAGATTTTATTCAAGAGAGCAGCGTTTAAAGGCTTCAGGGAAAAAGGACCTGCCGCCACAGCCAGTCTACGTGCTTGGAGGGGACTCGCACCTGACTCCCTTCCTCCCCAACACGTGTCGGTACAGGGGTCCTTTGCTAGGGGTGTTCAACAGCTAGCGGAGGAGAGTCCTGGTGCCCTGGAGGCCTTAGAGGGATATAACAGCATTCAATTTCACGTGAACCATTTGGGCTGGACATCAAAATCCATCTGAAATCTTGCGAATCAGTTTTCATGCAGAACAATATTTAGAGTAAACTGAAAGACGTCTCTTGAGACTTTCTGGTGCGACGGAAGATATTCTGCTTAAATCTCGTATACCAATAGACATTCACGGTTTTTTTCTAGAGCTCAAAAAAGGAGAAAGTGCAACTATTATGGTGGTCAGAGAATCTTAAATAGGGTACTGGAAAAATTAAGACAAGATTCTGGAACACCAACTGCTGTATAGGTCCTGCAAAACCGAAATGCGGACTTGTACAGAACTTTTCAAGTCAGAGCAACAAGCAAAGTCGTGGAAAAGAATCTGGTGATACCTCTGGTGGAGGCATTGGAGCCTGTCTGAAATTCCTGACAAGGATTTTAGACCTGATTTCCTTGTATAATGTCTTCCGAATTACAAACCTTCGCACAGGATGCGAAATAAGTGGCATTCAAACTTGGTCAACATCGGTTCTTTAAATGTATTGAAAAAGGACCTGTTCCATTTTCTCAATTGTCATTATTCCCTTTCATTGCTCAGCATGATCATTTTGAATGACCATATACTCTCATTATTTCCCATCGTCCACCCTCTCCCAGCAGTGTCGCATTCTACCTTGATTATGAGTAGAGAGCGGATTTTTATGCAAATGCATATTTTTTCTGCAGGCTCCTAGGAACATGCAACCCAGATAGGATCAAGTCTCATTGTTAGAGGAAGCAATTTATTCCTTTTTAAAAACGCACAAAAATGTTTATTTTCAAGTTTTTCTCAGGAAGTGAACATTTATGAATATACAGGGTTATCATAAAGTCACTACCCTATTTTTATTGGCTATAACTTTTCAAGGGGCAGTCAGATTCAACGGATATTTGGCAGAGAGGTTCATGAGTCAAGGAGGTTTTTTCCCATGCCGCAAGAAGGCGTTGTATACCGATAGAGGGCGCTGATATCGACCGCAGCGCCACCTATCTACTTGCTTTGTCATGTTTCAGGTATGAGAAAAAAAACCTCTTTCGCCAATGAGTCTCCGCCAAATATCATATGCGTCCGAGAGTCCTTTCATAAGATATAGTCAAAGTTGGATGGTGACTTGTAACAATCGAACTTTATTTGGTCATAACTATTTAAAGAATAGTCAGATGCAGCTGATGTTTGACAGACATGTTCATGGGCCTATGACTTATTCGTTCCCTTGCCAGTCACGGGGTTGTACATATTGACAGGGGGCGCTGTGGTGCCAAATGCAAAAGGTAAGAGATAGAGAATAGGATTTGGCTAAAGTACATCTACCATTCCGACCACTCCCGGCAAAAGATGGTGAAAGTCTCAGTGCAGCAACGTCTCACGTTGATATCCTGTTACTACCCAGGTAGCCAAATCGATAAGGGCCAGTTATGGCCCTAATACGGCATACTTGGCGAATCTCTGGCATTGGCATCCACATTTGGGCCATTCATGGGAAAAGTCTGGCAACCCGAAGTACATCACTACGTCTGGCAGCCTCGTACCTCCCGCTCAAGGGCCATACTCCTAAGGCCGTAATATGGGCAACCCATATTAGGGCCATGCAAATTTGCCACAGTGAAACCTGATTGAAAATAAAGTTTTACCTCATATTCACCTGAGATGAGCGAAGACGAATTGTCTTT